GAAGTAGTCTTTCACGGTACATAGGAGACTTCCAGATAATACAACTCCAACAAAACATCCTCCTGCACATCTGTAGAGATAAGCATTGCGGCACAGACAGAACAGCAGAGATAGGAATGCAATAGCAATTACCAAGACACAGAATGAACTCCCCTACCCCCGTGGCAGCATAGCTGACACCCAATTGCAGCCACCACCCCCATCTCCAGTTGCACTTGCACAATTCACACAGGTGTTAAGGAGCTACCTTAGGGCCAGCCATTTCCTGTACCAAAACAGCACTGGGAGGAATTGTTTCCTTGTTTTTGCTGTGCCATGTGGCATATTCTATGCATGTGGAGCAGCAGAAATGGGGGGAGGGGAGCTGGGAGAAAGGCAGGAGCCCTTCCTCTTCCCTTTCCTATGGCTTTCCAAACCCATTTGGGCCGTCCTTTGTTTTTAAAAAGCTGTTCCCTGCTGTGGCTGTGGGAAACCAAAACTGGTTCTGGAGAACAACTCCTCAAAAGCCCAAATGTTTAGTTTGACCCTTACGTTATATGACGTTAAACAGTGGTCCTGGGGATGCAGAAGTGGAATCAGTGATTCATCCAGCTTGGCACGGTCTGCTTTCTTTACTGTCTGTTTTGTAGCACCTCCTTCAGGGGAACCTCTTGCCTGGTGATATTGTGACTGAATCTCGGGCTTTTTCCGAGGAAAGTGTCCTCTCTGCTAATGAGGGCCAAGCAGGATAGTTTTTCCCACAGTTTTTGAGCTTTCAGCTGTGGCCATGTGGGGCCCTGCTTCAAATCAGGACTGTAGTGTGCAGGAGAAGGATTTGACCTTCTCCACTGAGCCCCTTCACTGGCATTTTCTCTGTGGGAGGGGAAGTACAAATACTGCATGGATACTTGAGTTGCTTCCCACCCAGATAGCCACAGGACAAATAGCAGCCATAGAGGGCTATTCAGACTGCAAAAATGGCCCATGAGGAAAGGGTTAACACTCTACTGTGTAGCCTAAGTCCAAAAACAGCAGTGAGGGGGGTGGGCGTCACCAGACATGTTGCTGTCGCATCCAGATTGGCACGGAGCCTTGGCTCTTCCTTGGGTTCCCTTGAACTTCCTCTCAAAGGTACCCAGGGCTGGATTCTGCAGATCTTTTCCTCCAGTGGAATAACAGCTGTCCAAGAGCCTCATACATCAGGAGAAGGGTACTTTTGCACTGGGAGGAAACACTGCTGTTAGTCAAATGGATTGACAGGATCCAGCCCGTGTTCTGGCTCAAACGAAAACCCTAAACTGGGCACGTGAGAGTTAAATTCCCTCCAGTTTGCATTCAGCACTTCCTACCTTTCCATAGCTTATGGTTAGCAGGGCTGCAATGAAGGAATCTTGAAGACTCTACAAGAGAAAGTTCCCTGAAAAACATTGGTAGTACTGAGGTCTGTGGATGATCTTGGCAGACGCTGAGCGATTAGGAAGGCTGCTGCCATCACCGATCCCTGTGCCACTGTGCTGCTGTCCTAAAGAGTTAAATCCCAGACGTCTTTGGGAACATTGTGTGCCACTGTGAGCAGCCACCCTTCCATGCAAACAGTGGTGAAGAGCAGTCATATCTGCATGTCTGCACGAGTCAATCCATGTCAAGGAAAATTAAGATGTTCCAGTGTGGCACTCCGTCTCTCCCCCCCCCCCAGTCCTCTTTTGGGCAGGGCAGTGATATTAGGCCCTTGCTAATGATGTGCCCAACACACGTTCATATGAAGGATTTTGCAATATATATATTTTTTACAAAAGCCAGAATTTTGACCCCCAGCTGGTAAAAGAGGGACTGGCTACAGAATGAGCAGGCTGTATTGCCTGCCTGGAATGTCCTGATAAACAGGCTGGGAAAGCAGGCCTCAAATATTGGCAAGCAGCAAGAATGAACTCTTCCCCCCTCCCCTTCGATTCAGGGACTTTGTTGAGACGTGGAGAAGTGCTTTGAAATCCAAAGCAGGAGGTAGCCTGGATGTGGTTTTGCTGTAGCTGCACCTGCATGTACATGATTTATCTTATGCACTTGGTTTGCTGCAAAAAACAAACAGCGTCGCTTCATTTAACAACTGCGATTTTAGCACAAGACTCAGCTCAGAGTTCTAGCATGTGTATCCCAGAAGGCCTCCTGTCCTGGAAGCCCTCAGGGCCAAACCTTTTGTTGCTTAAGTGCTATAAATGCACTGTGTGCCTTTGGAGCCTTCTCTGGGGGGAAATACCATTTTGTGCAGATAACTTATTCCCTCCCCCCCACACACTCTCTGGGATTTGGGGCATTACCAACATAACCTTCCTGCCTCTTTCACATCATAACAATGAGCAGAGAGATGCTATTAAAAGTTCCCTGGAATCGGCCTGCTTCTTCAGCCATGCCCTGGAGAGTTGGTATGTCAAGGCTGAACTATGTGTGATCAGCTCTCCCAGGTTTTCTTTTCTTTTTTTTTAATGTTAAAAAGCAGCTGTGGGGTTGGGGGGAATTCAGATTTTCGTGGTGGGAGAAGCATTTAACCCTTCTCCCCATGCTGTTTTCAGCATAGGAATCTCTCCCAAACTGGTGATAATCTCAGTCAGCAAAAACTGAGCCGCATTGCCTGTATTTTTCTCACCTGCTGGGGTTTATCAGTTAAGTGATCTACTTGTCAAGAATAGAATCCCCTCTTTTTGCCTGTGCAGTGCAGTACATTCTTTTAAATGAACAAAATTGGATACATCACATTACCTTCTTTTTGCCCCTATGCAGTTAGGGGCATCTATGTGTGAGCACAACAACCGATTTCAAGATTAGCTAGGTACACATGCGGACATACACTGAAGGCACACAGAGTCATCTAAGTAGAAAGTTTCAACTCAGATTTTTTTCGCCTTTTAATTATATGTCTTTTAACCGTGGGAGGCAGGGGCAGATGGGTAGAAGGGAGGCAACTATAAGGAAGCATTCTGGCGTAGTTTGGTGTAGTGATTTGTGCGTGGACTTCAATCTGTTTGGTGTAGTGGTTAAGTGCGCGGACTCTAATCTGGGAAAACCAGGTTTGATTCCCCACTCCTCCACTCGCAGCTGCTGGATGACCTTGGGCAAGCCATAGTTCTGTCAGAGGTGTTCTTGAAAAACAGCAGTTTCTGTCAGCTCTCTCAGCCCCACCTGCCTCACAAGATGTCTGTTGTGGGGAGGGGAAGGGAAAGGAGTTTGTAAGCTGCTCTGAGACGCCAAGTGAAGGGCGGGGTATAAATCCAATCTCTTCTTCGTCATCTTAATCATAAAAACAGACACAGCTGAGTTCGTTTGGATGCATTTGAACAGTATAAGCAAACAAACCCGGTCTCTCAGTAAATGAACAAGGCATGAGCCAGGCTGTTGGTAATTGAGCATAACCGCTCAGTAGTTGCACCTTCCTTTGATCTAACAGTTAAGACCCTAAGATATGACTATGAGCAGCTCCTGTTTTGTATCTCAGCCCAAACAAGAAAATGTGAATTACTTTGAACACTTAGGAAAGCACCACAGAAATGTCCTCACTATCAATTAATATGCTTGCAAATGGGTTTAGAATGAGTTTATTAAGACTGAAATTTCTGTCTCATCCATGAATATAAAGAGAGTTATGTCGGGTCAGATTGAGGGTCCTTCCAGTCCTGCATCCTGTTTTCAGCAGTGGCCAGCCAGATGCTTCTGGGAGCCTGATTGCACAAAGGCAAAAGCCCTCCATGGCCGTTGGATGGTTGTGCTATAGTATCGGGTTTGCCACTCTTTAAGAAACAAAAACCAAAGGGAATAATAGGCCCCTGTCACACGGGCAGGAAACTGCAGAGGAGAAGTGTGGCTGTTTGCCCCGGGGCAAACTAACATGCAGTAAAGTGATCAGACCTACTGTGGAGGTTCTGTGGAGGTACTGTGGAGGTTCCATGGCAAGGGAGAGGTGCCGATCACAACACACGCCTGCTGAAGAAGCGCGCGGCGTGGCGAACTGGTTTTCTTTTTTTGTGTACACTACGAATGCGCATGCTCCGTTGGGTGCGTGTGCGCATCCACAGAGACGTGGGGGAAAAAAACCCCTTTTCCGCAAGGGGACATGGGCGGGCACCGGATACCACCAGAAACGCGATCAGACGCCCGCCCTTGCCCCGCAGTTTCTGGAAACTAGTACCTCCAAGGTACTAGTTTTTTGCTGCGCTTTTTCGGCAGGAAGCCTCAGTTGTGCCACGGAAGCGCTACGCTTCCCAGATGTGCTGGTGAGATCGCGACCGGAAACTCCGCTTGTCTTCCGTATCTCTTGCGTGGCTAATGTTGCGTGTGACCGCAGCCACAGAAGACTTTTTAAAAAAGAACCAAATGTCAAGGATGCTGTTTGGGCCTTCATGACTTCTGTTCCCAGATCTAATGTACATTTCCAAATTTGGTCTTTTTTCTTTTTCCCCTCCCCTGTGGGTCAAATCCTGTCATTCTATTTTTACTGGGGCCACATCTCCTCTTTGGAGAGAACCAGTGTTCTTCCACTTCTGGATGTAGCAGCAGTCTTGCATCCATCTCTGTGGTGTCACTTGTTGGGGTGTGGGGGTGCAGGGTTCACGCGATGCAAAGACGACACGAGACAAACAGCTTCTGCAGAAAGCTGACTGAATGAATGCTCTCACTAACCAGCTGTATTTATTGAAAATCCGTCTCCTCCTTTCCCCCTCCCTTTCCTTCATACATTACAGCATCCTTAAGGAGTGTGTGTGTGTGTGTGTGTGTGTGTGTGTGTGTGTGTACAGGCAAGTTCTCTGTTATCAGTTCCTCCCCCTCCTCAAGGTTAAACCGACTGCGTCAGCGAGCAGTAAACAGATTCCATCTCGGGCTCTCATTACGTATAAGTATTTCAGTTCCCAATTTCCAGGCAGGAGAATCCATCTGCTCTGCTTTTCTACATCTCTCTCTTTCTCTGTTTCTCCTCTCCTTTTGTATCGAGTCACTTCCCAATTCTCTTTTTTTTCTCCCCTTTTCACTTTCAGATTGGCTGAGTCTCGAACTAACCCCCATGTCCTTGACATCGGCTTGACTGCTCAGGACATCCAGACCACCGATATTCTCTCGCCCACCGACTGGGACAAAGTCGATTCCACAACAGTCGAAAAAGATGACAACCTCTTTGGCTTCTGAAGTCCTCTGTCTTTTGCCTAGCAAGCTTTCGGGTTCAAATAACCACTAAACATAAGCAGACTTTGTATGCACTGCATTCTGGGTGATTTAACTGGAGATGGTTCACTCAGGGGAGGAGCAGTACGCTTGGTTCCAATGGACTCTGTTGTGACACCCAGCAACTCTTCACACCAAAGCTTCCAATACTTAATAGATCTTTTTTATATATAATTGTGTGTGGGGGGGGTGTCTTGTATCTATGTCACAAGATGCTCCTTGAATATATTTATTCAAGAACCCCTTTTGGTTTACATATATTATGGAAATTTTGTAGCTTCATTTAACATAACATTACAGTATTAGGTTGCTTTTCCCATTGGAATATCCTCAGCAGACGACACCTGTGTCTTGTGAGGGAGACCAAAGTAATCTGAAATATGTTCTTTTTCTTTTTCCTAGAAGATAGTAATAAGTTATCCTGGGGTGGTACAGAGAAGCCAAGTTGGTGACTGCCTGATTAGTTTCAGTTGGGGAGGGAGGTTGGGGTACCATGAGATTATGTGCTGATTCATTATGAGAGGCAAGAAAAGGGTAGTGTATGTGCTCAAGATTGCTACAGCACAGACATTGTCTCCAGATTTTGATGCAATAATTCAGAGCAAGACTTGTCGGTTATTAGAGACTGTTAAATAAACAAAATATTGCAACAGTGCTAATTTTTTAACATGTTTTATTTTAAGTTTTTAAAAACCTTTAATTATGTTTGTCAGTGTCCCCGACAAGGTCTCATTTATGTCAGATCCGTCCCTCATAACAAATTAATTTGACATCCCTGCTCTATAGAGTTTCTGGTGGTTCCTAGAGCTACCCCTTGTGACTTTCAAGTTTTACCTGGAAGTGATGTAGAGATGGTGGTGATGTCACATGCACCCCCTCACGTCCCCACCCCCAGCTCTCCTGCCAATTGCCAGTCTCGGCCTGGCAACCCTACCATTTACTCATGCCCTGCAGTCCCAGAAGTGAGGAATACTGAAACAGCGCTCCTGATCCAGGACATTTGAGTTACTTAATGTTTATTTTCTGTTTCTCCCCCCCCCCAGATGTTATGAGAGGCATGTATGGGTCTTTTGGCTCAGTCTGGATACAAAGGTTTGAGGAACCAGCTGTTCTGCTGTTTCTGTGCTTGCTCTTTTGATAGAATTCTAGGGTGGCTTCCTTGTATCTCTGTTGATGTATTTGTGGCAAGGGAGGGGGGGAGCACTCCTTGACAGTTAGCAGTGCTGGTGGTGCAGCCCATCTAGCAAGCAAAAGAAAAGTTCCTGGATTGAGGAGGGGTACGTGCTTCTCTCCCTCTCCCCCCCCCCCAGCCATCCCCAACATGCTCCCAGGTACATGGTGCAGTGTGCTGTCACTGTACAGCAGATATTCCATTGTCCATGACGTGTAGATCCTCAAGTTCCTTTGGACTTGATTAAGCATGGCCCAGGAATAGAGATGTGAAGGCCCGGAAAAAAACCCGAAAAATTTGGGGGGAAACCCATTTTTTTCCTGAAGCCTTTTTTTTTTCTGAAAAATTGGAAAAATTAAAAAAAGAAAAAAAATTGATTATGGAACGTTTTATTTTAACCTGATGAATTAAGACAAGGTGTTCAAATATTTTCCAAATCATTTCTAATATATATATACATATATGGTATCAGATTGATCTAATTTCTGTGCACTGAGGACAAGCAAGTCCTAGGTTACAAACTGAACTCTCCAATGCAAGAACAAGATGCATTTCTTCCTTTAGGTGGTGCGATTGTCAGAAGAAAATTAAAACGTTTCAGTTTTGTTTTTTCATGTGGGTGGGTATTCTGTTTGTAATAATTGTTTGGACACACTATATTTTTAATATGCTAGTTGTGATAATTTCATGCCAAGCAAAAATGTCCATAGTCATATTTTATGTTCCTAAAGTAACAAAATGACTTTCAATCTAGAAAAGACAAAAGAAATGCTAATGTAGCATTTTTTTCTGAGCTTCAAAATTTCCGGAAATTTTACATCTCTACCCAGGAATAGGGCACATCTGGCCCACAGCTCTTTTGTAGCCTGCTGCAATTTGAGCCAGATGGGTAATGTGTGAATCATGGGCACAAGGAGGAGAGGGTCAGTAGCTTTTTGGTGTAGTCTGGTGTAGTGCTTAAGTGCGCAGACTCTAATCTGGGGGAACCGGGTTTGATTCCCCACTCCTCCACTTGCACCTGGCTGGATGACCTTGGGCAAGCCGTAGTTCTGATAAGAGCTGTCCTTGAAAAAGAGCAGTTTCTGTCAAGAGCTCTCTCAGCCCCACCTACCTCACAGGGTGTCTGTTGTGGGGAGGGAAAGGGGAAGGAGTTTGTAAGCCTCTCTGAGACACCTTTGGGTAGTGAAGGGCGGGGTATAAATCCAATCTCTTCTTCTTCTTCTTCTCTCTTCTTTGGCTGGATCTGCATGGACCTCAGGTAAATGGTATACCTGTTACTGGACTGTACCACATCACACTGCTGTCATGGTTGCCTGTTTGAACACTTCCCCCATGTTACCTCACAAAAAGACTGGGAGAAGGCTAAGACAGAATGCGTCACCTTGATATTGAATTTTTTACATGGCAAGGGTTGACTTTTTGAAATATGGAGGCATGTGTGAGCCCCACCCTCTCATAGGTTCTATCTTGGACTTTCTTCCTGGAATGCTAGGTGTCTGTATGTGAGGGATTGTTGTTGTCATGGAGGAGTATTCTGTGCTGTGACCATCGCCACCATCTTGCGATGTTAAGTGGTACTGTCCAGGAACAGCTGCCTCATCTAACCTGCTGTTTGCATAAACCAGGACCAGTGCTCCCTCTAAGCTGTGGAGTCCTGTGAGCAAAAATTCTACTTTGTGAGCTACTGGCATTAGAGTTGTGAGTGAGCGATTTTGCTACTGCATAAATTTGTTTGCTCTGGAGCCATCCTTCCTGAGCAGAGACAAAAATGTCTGGAGAATAAAAAACTCTGAGCTGGAGAATAAAAAACTGTGAGCTAGCTCACACTAACTCAGCTTAGAGGGAACGCTGACCAGGACTCCCCTACACTGGAGGGAAGTGGAGCTGGCTGAGAAGGTAACTGGTGAACTTCTCCAAAACTGTGTATGCGGGAGAGAACATGTGTGTGTGAGAGAGAGAGAGAGATGAGAGAGGTTGTCTTGGTGTCTGCAGAGTCTTGAAGATTCCACTTTGCATGGGTCCTTAGCAATGAACTTCACTCTTATTGAACAGTGGGGTGACCTGGTTCCACATTCTCTCACCCCTTCAGAGGAGTTGGCTACATCTGTATATGTGGGAGGAGGACCACAAAAAAAACGGGATGTGGGCTTTGTTTACAGAAATACTTATGGGAGGGCCAAAGTCTGTTTGTATAGAAGTGGCTTTTCAAAAGCATCTTCCATCTTGTTGATTTTTTTTTTCTGAGCGGCTTTCTTCATACACTGAAAAGGGTGAGAGGACTGTAATCGCTGATAAAATTAGGTTTGAACTGTGGGTGATCCGGCAAGTATCTGATCAGATATTGCTGCAATATTGCTGCAAAAAGCAGACATGGGGCAATGTGGGTGGGGCTCTTTTTGCAGCAGGAACTCCTTTGCATATTAGGCGACACGCCCCTAATGTAGCCAATCCTCCAAGAGCTTACAATAGCCCCTGTAAGAAGAGCTCTGTAAACTCTTGGAGGATTGGCTACATTAGGGGCGTGTCGCCTAATATGCAAAGGAGTTCCTGCTGCAAAAAGAGCCCCACCCACATTGCCCCATGTCTGCTTTTTGCAGCAATATTGCAGCAATATCTGATCAGATACTTGCCGGATCACCCACAGTTCAAACCTAATTTTATCAGCGATTACAGTCCTCTCACCCTTTTCAGTGTATGAAGAAAGCCTTTTTCTGTTCCAAGGTTTAAAGCTGCCTGGAGCAGGGAAGGTCATTTGCAATCAGGAAAAGGGCATTAGACAGGAAGGAGAGAGTTGACTGTCTTCCCCACTTCCATGGCCCTGATCCATACTGGGATTATTGCACCTGTTTCATAGGCTCAGATTATGCATCTGGAGTTCCAGTCATTACGTTTAGTTTTACGTTAAGTAAGGCTTGGTTTTTCAGTGAGTGGCTAAGGCGTGTTTCTTTCACTCTGTCCTTTTTTCATTCCTTTCTCTGCCAACTTTAGAGTGGAGTGAACCTTTTGTATCCAAAGACGTGCACTTTAGAAACAAAGGCATGGTTTCAGATGTCAAAGCAGGTTTGCACAGTTGTAACTTTCCCTTGCCGTTTATTAAAAGTCCTCCTTCCATAAAAAGAAACCAGCAGTTGGATATTCTTCCCCGAACTGATCCTGTGCTCTTCTGCTGCAGCAAAATGTTTGAAGACGCAGCCATCACATTGATGCTGAGCATCAATGGTGCTTTGAAAACTGTATCTTGACATTTGCCACCAAGAAAGAATTCAGCCGCTGAGTTTTGGCTGGCGATTAAATAAGACTAGCGTGGGTATTTATTTTTATTGCTCCTCTAAACACCTTCCACTTCTGTTTGACTAGTTCAGTTGTTGCCCCCTCTGGCATTTAAATCTCTAAATATAGATGGCTGCCAAATTGCATTAAACAAAACCCTTAATTCCTGATTGCTTTTCATTTTAAAAAGGTGTTTAAGTGACTAGGGTTGGAGGATTACACTCCCTTCTCCTTCTACCCCCTGCATCTCTTGCATACTTAGAAAAGGGTTTTTTTTTCATTTTGTAGACTCTGGATTTACAAAACCAAACAACAAGTGAATCAGGATTATGCTCATTAAGAGATTAAGTTTACAGTGATCCCAAATAGCTGCTCTGTGGCACAGTTTGCCCTCTTTGTGGCCATGTTGGAAATATACCAATTTGTTTTTTAGTTTTATAGTTGGCTTCAAAACTGCTAATTTCAGATCCACATATACTCCCTTAAAAAAGAAGACTCTACTAATACTACAGTTGTGGAAAGTAAAAGAAAACAGCAGATAAATTAGCCTGAAACCGGTTAGTCCAGACGTTTGGCAGTATCTGAGAGCCAGTTTGGTGTGAGAGCCAGTCTGGTGTAGTGGTTAGGAATGCGGACTCTAATCTAGGAGAATTGGGTTTGATTATCAGCTCTTCCACATGCAGCTGCTGGGTGACCTTGAGCAAACCACAGTTCTCTCAGAACTGTTCTCTCAGGAGCAGTCCTCAAAAGAGCTCTCTCAGCTTCACCTATGTCACAGGGTGTCTGTTGTGGGGAGAGGAAGGGACGGAGATTGTAAGCTGCTCTGAGACTCCGAGTGAAAAGGGGGGTATAAATCCAAACTCTTCTTCTCCATAAATTTTGGATATTCAGGGGCAGAGTCGGGGGGATGTTTAAAGCAGCTTTCTTCAGCTCATCAAACAGAAGTGCCTGAGATGTCTAGTCTTGCATGGGGCACAGAATTTCTGTATTGGGTGGAAGGTGGTGGAAGATCAGTTGAAGACACCTACTGATACATGCTTGTTCAGACAGTATCCTCACCTGTGCAAAACTAGTTGGGGGTTGTGGTCACACGGTCATTTTGATCGGGTTTCACAATTGTTCCCTATCGCAATTAATAGGACTGATCAGAAAGCCAATT